CTTTATGTTGAGGTGTAATCCATACTGAAGACTGTTGGTTGTAATCCATACTTTATGTTGAGGTGTAATCCATACTGAAGACTGTTGATTGTCTTTGGTCTTCATGAACCAAGTATCATAAGTAAACATTTCTGTGTGAAACAGATTTGTTTTTTTAATTGGCCTTCTTACTAATGCTGGAAGGAATTCCTTTCTCTTTATTTTCCATCTTGCTTGTGACACTAATAGCTTTCTATATTGTGTTATTGAGGGGTGTATGTGTGTGCATGAGCCCTGGGGAAATTATAGCCTCACTGAGGGCAAAAAGTATAGCATACTCTTCTTTTTTTGGCACCACCACCCCAGCTATAAGCACAAAACACAGAAGATTCTAAGCAAATACTTGAGGACTGAAGGCCTGAGCCTGCTTCCTCTACACAATGAAGACCCTGATGACATCCAGGATGGATTATCTGAAAAAATGAGCTTTCTGTGTCATTCCCAACAAATCAAGATGACACAAAAAATCTTCACTCAAAGGAGGCTAAGAACTGCGTGACATAGCTGGGTCGTGAATAGAGGAAGGGTGACATTTTGCATTATGGGCATCTGACTGGATTGTCAGAAAACAAGCAAGGGTGATGAAAACAAAATGCTTGTCTCACAACACCTCCATACACAAGAGGGCTTCCAAAAGCTTGTGGAAAAATGGAATTGAAAGATGGAATTTTTCCACAAACTTTTGGAAGTCCCCTCATACTAAAGAAAAGACTGGCAACTTCTTTCTCATCCTTCAACTACCAGCTCAAATGTCACTTCATTTGTTAATGTTTCTTGACATGCTCTTGTCACACCCTGCCCCAACTCCTGCTTGCCTCTCCAGACTATGTTCCCAATATAGTTGGTGCACACCTCTAACACAGGATTTATCCCACACTATTGTGGGCTCAGCAACACAAAAACCTGTTAACTGAGTGCCCATAAGGTACAAGGCTTGATGCTGGATGCTCTACAATCATAATCTCCCATGTCCTTTATGTTGAGCTCATTACACTGGCCTGTAACTCACACAGACTCAACTACATACATACCATGACTGGAAAGAGCTCATTTAAACAGGTGGCCAGTTCCATTCACTATGTGTCTGTCCTGAGTATGCCTGTGATGACACCCATGACTCTGCTGTTCCCGAGGTTGCTGTTAGCTCCCTCGTGCCTGTCTTTCCAGAGTGTGCCTTTTATACAACAGGGTTCCTAAACACAAGCCAACTCTTTCATCGAATGCTTAACCAAGAAAATCTAACTATCCTGGTTGGCCTCTTGAAAGACAGTGTGTTAATTTCTGGCTCCTTGCCAAGGCATTTTTACACTAACTAAAAGTGAGTTTTCGACTTCTATACTGACTTTGGAGTTCTGGTGTAACGCTGTAAGATGAGCAAGCACTGGACCACAAGGTTAGTGGTTCAAACCCCTTGGAAACCCTATACAAGTTCACTATGAGTTGGAACTGACTCAATGGCACTTAACAACACGAATACTGACTTTAAAATATAATCACCCTGTAAAGTATGCCTCCCTTATATACTCAATTTACATTGTGGGAAACTGAATGTCTATAATGAAAACTCACTTGTTCAAGGTTATAAATTTAGCAAGCAGCAGAGTTGGGATCTAAAGCCAGATTTGTTTCCTTCTTTCTCAAGCACACTAAACAGTCTCTTCCAGATCTGCCAGTCATCCACATTCCTTAGAAAGTGGTATGGGAGTGTAGAAAGAACATTAAGGAAGAAGTGAGCAGGTACGGGTCCCGGTTCGTCCTGCCTATAATCAGTCTTGTGACTTTGGGCTGGTCATGTGGTTGTGACTGCTACCTAGTTAAGCACAACTTAAAACTCGGCCCTGTGGACAGCTGCCCCAGGTTCCCCAACTGGTGACTACAAATTTACAAGGCTATAGGGACCAAGTAGGTAATGTAAATGAATGAAGTGGGCTGGGCAGAGACATAACTACCTACAGTGTGCCAGAGGAAACATGGGCCCAGTATTCTCAGAACTTCCAAGTTTTCCAAGTTGTTGTTGTTAAGTGCTGTTGAGTCAGTTCCAACTCATAGAGACCCTGGTACAGGGTTTCTGAGGAGCTGCTGGTGGGTTTGAACCTTGCTGCTAGTAATCTAATGCCTATCCTATAGTGGCATACTAGGACGCCCCAAGAAAAACTAGAAATGTTAGTTTCTTAGAAATGTGTCCAGATTAGGAAGGTAGGGAGACGGAAGCTTCTATGAAAACTCTGACAATGAAGGTTTCCCATCCCTGGTTTAAAGCAACCAAGGTTTAAGCCAAAAGAAGCAAACAGGGTGCATTTAAAGATCAATTTCAAGTGCCTGCCTAAAGTAGGGTGCTGAGGACTCTGAGTCCTGTCTCATTATTGTGACCAGCTAGCCATCATTGCTAAAGACAGGAAGAAGAAGTGGTATACATTCCCAGGATTTGCCACCATAAGCATGGAACTAGCTTCATGCAGAAGACTATAAAGTTCAAGCCCCTGGAAACCCACTGGATATAGGAGTCATCAAGCCTGGTACAGTGAGGCAAACCCTGGACAATCTTTATTCACACATTCATCATGCATTTATTGCTGTCTGCTCTGAGCTGAGCACTGGAAGCGACTTATTGTGGAGCGGATCAGTCTAGTGACAGAAACAAATATGTCCAAGATCATAAGTAGGATCTCACATGGTAAATACAGTAAGAAAAGGAATTTGGAGGGAGGAGTGACTTCATCTGTCTAAGGAAACTGAAGAAAGTAACATCTGAGTTGGTTCTTGAAGGCAGAGAATGGGGGAAGAGAGAACCTAACAGTCTACCCAGAAAATGGGGAGAAGCTTTGCAGTCCAAGAGCAGGTGTACAAGGGGTAGTAATTGCAGATGAGGTTGTAGAGGAGACTAACACTATTTATGCAGGGTTTTGGATGTCAACCTCAGGTTCTGAACTCAATTCTGTAGGAATGGGAGCCAATCAAGGCTGTGAAGCAGTAGTTGGGACAATCCAATTTGTGGGTTAAATAGATCAGACTAGGTGCAACCTGTGTCACGGCTGGGAAGGGAGGGAGAAGGAAGCTTCTAAGAAAACTCTGACAATGAAGAAGTAGATTCAAAACATATTAGGGACAGTGGCAGTATCTGAAGACCCCTGGGTGTAGAGGAGGCCTTGGGTGACGCAGTTAAGCTTTTGACTACTAACCAAAAGGTCAGCGGTTTGAACCTCCGAGAGACACCTCACAAGAAAGGTCGGGCGATTTGCTTCCTAAAGGTTATGGTCATGAAAATCTATGGAGCACAATTCTACTTTGCAACACAGAATCGAATGAAAGGCAACTGGTTCCGTTTTGGGTTTGGATGTGGAGGAATGCAAGAGGAATCAGCGAGGACAACTGGGTAGAGTGGATAACGATGCCATCCCCTTCCATCAAGACCAGGGAAAGAGGTGCAGGGATGAGACAGAGCACAATACATATTCCCTCTCGTTGAAACCCAGAGGTAACAACAATCATTAAAGAAAGTGTAAGGGAGGTTCCAGCAGACCAGAGTTTTGCTCTAGGTGGATAGGCAGAGGCGGGAACATTATTCTTACGGGGGTCAGGCTTCCAGCTCGGGCCCTCTTCTTGC